AAAAGTGTGGTCTTCTGGCAGGTCAAGCACTGTACCTCGCTGTACCTCTCAGCTGAGAGCCCTTATCTATGTTTGTCCTTGAGTGCGATGATACTCCCTAGCCGTGCTTATGTAGTTGGCTCATACCAGAACGCGCAGTCAGCACGTTACGTCATCGCTCGCCAGTCATGTGTTATGTATACTGCTTGGAAACCTAAGGACAATTATGACATGGCGAGCGAGTATTTTGTACTTCAATTTTATGGCTTTCCGTCACTCACAAGTTGGTTTGATGTTACGTACATTATTAACATTACAGAATCCACATATTCCTGCCAGTTTTAATATGTATTTTGTAATCAACAAGTGTGTAACCCCGGTCAAAGTTTGACACTTCTCGGGCCATTATCTCCGTAACCGTTCAACTTTGGACATAGGTGTTTTGGGTTATATCGGCATACTTTAACATAAGGAACACCCTCCCGAAGTTTGGCACATTCCTCCTGGGACACCCTGTATATTTCTCATAAATAAAACTAAAATGTTTTTATGAAAGCATCACTTGTGTTCATAACAATAACATTAACAGACACAGATATATACTCACATTTTTTTAAGAAAATTCCTGTTAAAATCTGTTCAGCAAAATATCTTTCAGCGCAGAAAAAATGTTTCAACTTGTGAAGTCTCACCAATAGCAGAAATGAGTACTACCCCTGCTAAGAACAGAGCATTTTTTTTTAATTCGCTTAGTGGGAGGTGGAGTCCAGCTGGGTCCACTCAGCACAGCGGCTACTGATTGGCTTATTGTACCTGCCCCAGGTGATTATGATGATGGAGAATTTGGTGGAATGAAGATTGGCAGGGGAAACCAAAGTACTTGAGAAAACCCGCCCCAGTGCCACTTTGTCCACACAGATCCCACTTGACCAGTCCCAGGATCAAACCTGGGCTGCCGCGGTGGGAAGCCAGCAACTAACCACTTGAGCTATGGCACAGCCAGAAGAACAGAGCATACTATTTTATCTTCAGTTTCTCATGTTTGTCAGGAGGTGGCTATGCCTCCTTCATAAAAATATCACACCTCCCCAGACTGTGTGCCCTTCTCCTATTGTTTTTTAAAATTATAATTGTGGTTCTGTAAAAGGATGTATGGTCTGATATCTAGAAAAAATATTAAGTATTTTGATACTTGCTAGTTTGAAAAATATGCATCTTAATTGTTTTTAAAATCACTATACAATTCTTTACAACTTATTTCTGATTTTTTCTTTAACGTGTAATTTTGTTTTAAATATATGATGCATTAGAATAGTGTTACAAAACTGTTAGAGCCAGGCCCCTGATGAGGTTGCTGTCAATGTTCGATACTTATCTAAATGCTATTCTGTAACAGTCAGTTGACCAAATTAAAAGTCCAGAATTCTGGAGGGCTTTGTCTAAACTATGACTACTGTCTATTACATTCAGAATATCAACACTTTTAATTATTTGTTATATGAAGAATTAGATTCATAATAACGTTGCTGTTTTAATGCATCTAATCTTCTGTTCTTTATATCTGGAAGATTTTGATGTTAATCATGAAGCTGCATTATCCAACAGAGCATTTTAGCAGGAGAGTGTTGGGATTGTGTTATAATATGAACTGCATAATAACAGATCACTGCAGAATTCATCAAAATCTAACAGGTAACAAGAAATATGAGAATTGTTGAACCTAGAAATGTACAGCTAAATGACATCAACAATGTCAACAACATTGTGAGAGAATGGTATTAAGATTTTTCTTGGAGAAATGGGGTGTGTAGATGTGGACTGGATTCATTTGGCTCAGGATGGAGTTTGCTGCCAGGCTTATGTGAACCTGATGAAGGGTTCTTTCTTCTGGGTTATAACACTGTGTAGTTCACCAAAAAGTGATCTAATATTTCGGAGGACCATGTGACCTCTGTTTTTGGGGTCAGTGATTAAGCCAAGCAAGAATCCAGGGAACCTCAAACCTTACATGATGAATGGACCTTTGGATTTCATAAAACAGGTAATCTCTTGGCAAACTGAATATCTGGCATCTTCTGAAGAAGGATTCAGTACCATATGAAGGAGAAAAGGAAGGTGATAAGTGATGAAATGGTAAAGTAGGCATATTTGTTACAATCTAAATGGTGCTTATAGTTGCTAATTTCACTGTAGACTTTGATATGCTCTGTGTATAGTTTGCTTTGTTTAAAATGATTGGATCCTATAAGGACACTTCCACAACTTCTATAGAGCAGTATACTGTCACGTGTCACATTGACTAAAGATGGGGTTTGGATTGGTAATTGGATTTATTAACCACCTACAGGTTGTAACTACAATTAAATATTACACTGTTGCTGATTTTGACACTACAGAGCACTCCATACTAATCTCTTCAGTCTATTTGCACTAATCTTCACAGATTTAGAACACAAGAACTATAAAAGTCACACTAAATTACATTCTCCCAATATCAATGTACTACAGCCCATGTAACATCACACACACAGTCTTCTAATCCTTCTGGCCACGCTGCTGTTCCCTTGGAACTTCGGAACTCAAGTGAAGTCCATCTATTTCTCACTCCTCCAGCTTGCAACTGCCTGCAACAATCTTTGCTGACCCCCACAAACCTTTGGTGCAGACCTACAGAAAACATGCCACTTGGTCTCTATCAACTGTTGTGTGACATCACTGTCCATGCAGAAGTGTGTTTACCGAGCCATTGCCTAGAAACTGGTTGCATAGCTCCGCTGTTCTATCATTGCATGCATATAGTGTAGGGTATTTATCAAGCTATTACCTGGTCAATGCTTTGACTTGTCACATTACATTTTATATTGGTTACTTATGCACTTGGAAGTACATGATAAAATACCAAGCCTGAAAGGTGTGACAGGCAAGAAGGTATAATTTCATGCATTTAGGGATTTCATGTTAAACCCAGAATCACTCAGAAACCACTGAATATATTGTTTATGTGATTTAAAATCCAAGATGTTTTTACCAATTGAGGTATTTTAAGTACTTTATTTATTTCAGTTATCTTCTAGAGATAATTTCCTGTTTACAAGATTAGTCTTACTGTTGGTTTTATGTGTAGCTTTCATTGTACTTGGTAAATAAGCATATTTAATGTCATGTAAAATTAAGTCATTATGTTACCTCTTTTACTTCATGCAGTTCATTTCCCCCAAATACGAGGGTCGTACTGAAAGTCATGAGCAACAATTTTTTGTAAAGTAACATGCTTTATTATTGACAAACCAAATACACCACCTCAATCTACAGACCTTTCTTTATTTTTCCACATAATCGCCACTTCTTTGTACACATTTCTCCTAACATTCTGGGAGTTTGAAAATTCCCTTTCTGGAAAATTCTGTTCCAGCCATCCGAAGACACCGACACACTGCTTTCTGAATTGCCTCCGTTTTCTCGGAACGTTGTCCATGCAGCTGATCCTTCACAAATCCGAGAAGATGGTAGTCGGAGGGTGCCAGATCAGGGCTATAGGAGGGGTGTGGAAGAACTTCCCACCCCATCTTTGCAGTTGCTTCCAATGTGAGGCAAGCAGTGTGGGGGTGAGTGTTTTCTATAGCCCAAGCTTTCAATCATCTCCTATACTGCACTGTGCCCTATTCCAAGTTTTCGGGCTATTGTGTCCACAGTCACACACCTGTCTTCTTGAATGATCTCATCCACTCTTTCCTTGTTGCGTTCAGTTGAGGCTGTTCAAGGATGACCGCTCCGAGGCTCATCTTCGATGCTGGTGTTCCCATCTTTAAAATGTTTCACCCATCTTCGAACACTGCTCACACCCATGCACACACTTCCATAAGCACGCTGAAGTCTGGTGAATTTCTGCAGCAGGGATTTCCTCTTTCACAAGAAATTCGATGACAGCACGCTGGTGAAACAACATATCATTGTCAGCCATTTTGTTAGGAGTGATACTGCTCACGTGATGCAAGCTATTGATGTTACAAGACACTCAAGGTTAACACAACAGCTGGTTCCACCTACCACCGTACTCTCTTTCGTCTGCTATTCCCAGGTTGCATGCAAAAAAAAAAAAGTTGCTCATAAGTTTCGGTACGACCTACATACACTCACTTTGGAATGAACCTCTGTCATAGTAAATGTGAGAAATGAGGAGAAAAATACAAAATAGTTGCAAAGTCTGTCCAGTTATAAAAGGAATGTTATGAAGAGAACAGTCCCGAAGCAGCGCAGAACTGGTTTATAAAGTATATTTTGAACCAGTTCTAACATTTGGTTGATGCAGTTAGAAGGGAAACTCTTGGAATTGTTTCCCATGTGACAAGGAATGGATAGAACACATCTTGAGAAGGGCATTAGAATTAACTTCAGAGGAAGAGGCCTGTCTTGTCAGACAATTCACTAGAGTACTGGAAAGCATGACGATGTGAAGAAAACGCTGTCTAGAAATTGAAAAGGATAGATTGTAAAAAGATAGAAGAGATTTGCCTGTCTAGAAACAGAAGTGTTGCTGTGAGGAGGAGGAGGAAAGAAAGAAATGTGTCTTTGCCAAAGAGCCTACATGTAGACTGTATCCTAGCCAGATTAATCAAGTACTTACTCTCACAACCTGTTTTTCTAAACTTCAAGACTAATAGAAAATATATGAATTAAAAAGAAAATGTATCCAAGAAACTTGAACTTGTGATATTTATTATATTGCTATGCTTATGTTTCTTACAGTGACAGTAGATTCATTTTGCTTTATAAGTGTGTGTGTGTGTGTGTGTTGAATACCACTTGCAGCTGACAAATGCACACTTCATGGCAAAACTGTCCATTTCTTTCCTTAATTTCTTTTTGAAAAATTTTTCCGATATGTTGTCATAAATTGTGTCTAATTTAAGTAGTTATGTTAGCATCAAAAGTATATACATAACACCAAAGGACAGTATGTTCACTCGTTGAAAATCTATCTTTGCTGAATGCTTTAGCTGTATGTTTATGTGGGACTGTAGGTAAGAGAGCGCAGTGCACGCAGTGTTCCCATGGGGCGTAACACGGGGCGGTCATCATTCTCTGGTGGAGCCCGTACTCCAGACTCTCTCAGTGACAATGAGAGCACACTGACCCGGCCCATAAGGAAGGGGTCTGCACCACTTCGGTCTAGCCTCACTCCAGGTTAGTTCAAGAAATACTGAGGCAAGCATATCACTTTCTCCAGATGAAGTGGATTTCCTGACAGTCTGATCTTTGCTCAGAGCAAATGCAGTGTGGAATCGTGTTATTCAGAATTGTAACCCCAGTAAAAGAGCTGCAGGTAAGTATTCCGATTTCCTGAGCTTACCTGTACAGCTATCCCTCATTTTACAAACACTCAATATACAGAGTTTGCTACAATGAAGCAAGTTAATTTATACCTCGTTTTCGTGTAATGAACTTCATTTTCACTGCAACAGACAGCTAGCATTCATAAGTTCAGCAGGTTTTAGGTATGTGGTACATGGGAATATAATTTTCATTTTACAAAGTTTCACCTTAGGAACAGTTTCCATGGAACAGATTACCTTCATGAAATGAGGAATACCTGTATTCAGAATTAAAGACATTTATAATTGCTTTCCATTCATGTGCTATAAATGTATGTATATGTTTAGGAGGAAGTCAGCCAGGTAGCAAAGCAGGCAGCCGTCCCAGCAGTCGACCTCAGAGCCGGCAAGGCAGCAAACCTCCCAGCAGGCATGGGTCCACACATTCCCTTGACAGCACAGGTAAGTGAGCAAAGTTCAAGTGTTCAAATGTTGACATGAAAAGATTAGGGGGGGGGGGAACAGAGTGGTCAGGATTCCTGCTCATAGTGAGTGATATATCCACACTTTGCTCCTTGCTTATTGTGGTAACATTTTATGGTGTTGCACAGTTTTTTCCTGTACTCAATTAGCCCTTTAGTGCAAGTTCTAATGTTTGCCTGACTCAGATTTGATACAATATGATGTCTGCATTGGGGGAAGGGGCATATATCCTCGTGAGGTTTTAAGAGAAAAGAGTTATTAGGAAGTGAATGTAAATAATGACTCAAGTGCATTTCCACTGTTGGAGATCTAATGGATGCCAACTGATGAATCACTGATGCATGTTACTAGCATACAATTGAACACTTTCATAGTTTTTACATTAATCACATTATCTGAAATGCTGAATTATCACGATCCCAACCCATTGGATTAATAATCACTTAATTTTAGTTTGGTTATGTTTATCATGCAGATTATTACGTATCAGAATGAAAGTTATGTATTAAGTTCCCAGTGTTATATAAATTTCTAAAATCACTTTGTGTTGTTTATCTTCATCAACTGGCTGAGAGTTGCCTCTTACAAACTCCAGCAACAACTGGCTTAAGATGTCCTTTGGCACTCATGCATAAAATTTTAGTGGTTCCTTCCCAGTAATTTCAAAATACTAAAATTTGCCATATGATTGTTTGCCCTTAAAAGCAGTAGACTGCTAGCCTTATCAGGTTTAGGCAAAACTGCTTGTATTTCTGTTGGTTTGTTCAAATTTAATTTGTACACTATGGCAGGTAACATTTCAGTGATGTTTGGCAAAGCCACATTTGCTCTAAGGGGCCCTCCAGTTCTAACATCTATTTTAGGTGACAGCAGGATTCTTTTTAGTGTTTCTGGTTTTTGTCATCAGTGAGGTGAATGTGCAATTTCTCACTGTAGTTAGTCATGGTGCTCACATAAGCTTTCAAGTTCTAACAATATGTGGACATCATGACTTCTCAGACCTATGTGAAAAGTGCCTGCCTGCCTGCCTGCCTCCCATGTCCCAGCACAACTTTCTTGGCAGTGATTCTAATGAAAGGAAAATAATTTCTGCCATTCATTTTGTGGAGATTCCAAATCTGGTACCTTACCCATAACCTGTTTCAACTACACCAACTGCTGATTTGAGTTTAGTCAGTTACCTATTTCAGTCATTCACTATTGGTTCCACTCTTGCCCTTGCAGCCCAGTAACAAATTTTGTATGCTGGCCCTGTTCAAGTCATATCCCCATATTCATTTCTGTTATTTTGCAGACATATGGTTATTTTACATTTTTCATGTTAAAATAGATAACTCTTGAACTGGAGCCAATGTGCAAAAGGACCGCTGACCTCATGTATTGTGCCATCTAGCAGAACACCAAGGTTTATGAATTCACAACAGATATCACTGGGAGATAGGATAGCACTAAAAGGATTACATATTTTAATTATGGCATATCTGAAGACTGTGTGTATGTATGCTCCACCTTAAAAATATCATGCAAGTTAATCTCAAAGAGAACAGGGAAGTGTGAGGCCACAGGAAGGTACTACCCTTAGAGGAGTTTAAAAGTGAAAATAATTCTATTTGAATGCTCATGAAAAGACTCATGCTTTTTAAAACTGTTACTTCCCACAGTTTGATTTGATGTCATATAAGTGGACAAAATATTTTCAAAGCAAAATACTCAGGTATTATCATCCACAGTACATTGGAACCATGATGAAACACATATGGCTTTTAATTGGAGAAAAACATAGACACCAATAGTTTCTTAATGTTACATATGTGCAAAAATCTTGTATGAAATTGGGGTATTTTACTGACACTTTTGTCATAATGAGCCATTTATAACCAGCTGTGCCTTCTTTCCAGCAACTTTTTACACAGGTCTTAATTTATGGCTGAGAGTTCATAAGTTTACTATTAAACAACATCCTGCACCACTCCCTTATTTAGAAGAGGACTGTCTAAATTCCAGAACCTGAGAAGAGTATGTCTAATGGAGAATATGTCTAATCCTGGGGCAGAAGTGCTTAGCACACATCCCCAGAGGTCACAGTCAAAAAACAACTCATAAGTTGATGTTTTCTTTTTTTTACTGTTTTTGTGGTTATTAGTAACAGAATATTCCATTACACCCACTGGCACAGCAATGCTTGTTTTGTGACATGCAGTGAAAACCTAAGATTGAAAGGATTAACACTGCATAATGTTGACACTGTTTCTCCATAGTTTGTTATTTGTCTTCAGATGACGCAACACCCAGCCGTATCCCAATTCACCGGCGTGTTACAACTAGCAGTCGCACTGCAGGCAGTGGTTCTGGTACCACCACACCCACACGCAAACTCACAGTGCCTGTTAATGGAACAACTCCTAGTTCACGTCCACGAACTCCAACAGGACTTATTAGCCCATCTAGTGGGTCTTCATTCAGGTAGAGCAACAGCCATTGATCTGTGCAAGTTATGAATCAGTGGAAATTTGTAGTCAGCATTTACTATAAGTTAAAATGGTTTTTTGTTATATAAAAACCATGGGATGTGCATGTTCTTGCTTTCATTTAATCTTTTCCTGTAACCACATTAATTTGGTACCCATGTGAACTTCTGTAGTTTGGATATAGCCCAAGCCATCTAAAAATTGTGCTGTGTAGGTGTACCATGCAAGTGTTTTCCTTAAATTTGAAATGAAACAGTATTAGCCTTCTTTCCTGAAAAGAAAGCTGGAGCCTATAGAAAATCATATATTCGTGTGCTCATTTCTTACAACTTTTGAGTCAGATGATCAGTTCCTTTAACAAATCAGGAATTAAAATTAACACTATGACAGAAAAACAAAGGGCACCAAGACTTTAATTTCTTCATGATAAATCATATACACCATACTGCAGACTTTACATTATAATAGAGTATAAATAAATATGTTTACACCATACTGCAGACTTTACATTATAATAGAGTATAAATAAATATTTATACATATGGGGGCTATTCAGAAAGTAACCTCTGGTGAGCTGTTAAGGAAACAAGCAATGAGGAAAAAATTTTATTTTGTGCAAAAATTACGTACATACTTAAGGTACTTCTCAAAATAGCCACCACCAGAATTGAGATACTTATATCAAGGAACAAGTTTATGTATGTCTGTGTCGAAGTTTGACGCCTGTGAGCTCAGCCATGCTTTAACACCTTCCATAGACTCGTTACTTTTGAAGCATTGTTATCACAGCCAGTTCTTCAGGTAGCTAAGCAGGTGATAGTCACTGGGAGAGAGATCAGGGCTGTAAGGAGGACGATNACACCATACTGCAGACTTTACATTATAATAGAGTATAAATAAATATTTATACATATGGGGGCTATTCAGAAAGTAACCTCTGGTGAGCTGTTAAGGAAACAAGCAATGAGGAAAAAATTTTATTTTGTGCAAAAATTACGTACATACTTAAGGTACTTCTCAAAATAGCCACCACCAGAATTGAGATACTTATATCAAGGAACAAGTTTATGTATGTCTGTGTCGAAGTTTGACGCCTGTGAGCTCAGCCATGCTTTAACACCTTCCATAGACTCGTTACTTTTGAAGCATTGTTATCACAGCCAGTTCTTCAGGTAGCTAAGCAGGTGATAGTCACTGGGAGAGAGATCAGGGCTGTAAGGAGGACGATTCAAACAACTCCCAGTTGAAATGCTCCAGCAGTGCTCAAGTGCAAGCAGCTGTCTGCAGGCATGCATTGTTATACAGGAGTGCTACATTAGATGTCAGCATTCCACACCTTTTGTTTTGAATGGCCATATACAATTTTTTTAAGTGTTTCACAACACACTTCTGATGTTATTGTGGTCCCTTGTTACACGAATTGCACCATCAGCACTTATTTCTTGTCCCAGAAAACAGCTGGCATCAGCTTTCTGGCAGACAGACAACATTCGTTTAAACTTTTTCGGCTTGTTTGGTGAATATGTGTGCATCCTATGATTTGACTGCTCCTTGGTTTCAACATTCACAAATGAAACCCAGGTTTCATCACCTGTTACTTGCATGATGTGATTGAGAAATTCATTGCCATGTTTGTGGTATCACTCTAAAAAGTCAAAGCTGAAGCCATTCTGTGTGCACCTGTGAGTATTTTTGGAACCCATCTCACACAAAACTTGTGATCTAATAGAGAATGGTGCATGAAATTTGTGGAAATTCACACAAAAGTGCTGAAATTGTGAAGCATCATCTTTAAAAAATTCTTTGGTTAACACTTTGAACAAGATCATCACTCACTAAAGATGGCCGGCCAACCACTTCACCCTTCATCGCGAACATTTATTTGCCCATCTTTGAGCATTCTGCATCATTGCCTTACAGTTCCTTCACTCATTAAATTTTGGCCATGAACCATGCATAATTTACAGTGGATTTCCACAGCACTCATGTTTTTAGCATGAAGAAAGTGGATAGCAGGACAAATTTCACAGCTGGCATGATTATCAATTGTGGGACACATCATGACTCACTCTGTGGAGACAAGAACAAACACTGTGTGCCCAGTTATGTGATGGTTTACAGGGCAATCAGTCATGTGACCCAACATTACATGCATGAGCTCTCCGCCACTCCTACATTAGTTGCTTAAAATGGACGGAGGTTACTTTCCAAATAGCACTTATATTTTGTAAGGAACATCTTTTTACTTTGTCATATAAATTCAAACAGTACAAACACAATGATAATTGACATTCTTGATGTTAGATTTCCAAGTTTCATGCCTGCAGGAAATAACCATTAAACACATTAGACTTCAAAGTACAAAGTACAGTTGTTATATAACATTTATTTTTGTGCTAGTACATCACCATCACACCACCGATTTACAGAAATTCTTTAGTGTACCGTAGGGATGCTAAAAGTCAAAGGAAAAAGTGTTGTTAGGGGAAATTTGGGCTGTGTTGCTTGTCAGAGTACCAGTATAATAACAAACACATTTGGATGTGTGCTACTGGTCATTGGAAACAGGTTGTTTTATTTGGGTAGCTCATTAAGAGAGGTGAAAAGTCAATAGATCATCAAACAAGTCTCCCAATTAAGAGTACTGCCCTCTGGGATGTGATGCAGAGAAGTTTGGTAGACACTGAAGAGTAATTTCTTCTGTCAAAACCAATAAAATGCCCATTCTATCGGCATTACCGATTATTTGTTGGCTTGCTATTACCACTTATAAATACTTATGAATTGTATGATATAAAGAAAAGCATGACAGTGTGCTTGTGTTTGCTACATATGTACCTGTTATGAGCGACTGATTAACACAGTCACTAGTTTAAATAATCAAGTTGTTATGCATTCAGATGTATTTGTATGTAGATGTTTGCAATTACAATGGATTCTTCAGTAGTGCATCTAAGGATGGTATTGTTTTATTTCTCAACTCAAGGTGTGTTATGCAAATTTGTTTGAGCCTGATTAATGATAAGAATGATTACTCTTACTTTTGTAATTTGTTATGTCTGTTGTATTTTGGAATAGTTATCATAAATAGAAAAGTTCCGTAGAAATATTCTTATTTCTGCTTCGCAATATCAAATACAGGCCACTTAATTCGCAGATTCTTTCATCTGACATTTCCGATATATTTTTTTGAGTTATTGGCAGTCGTATGTCAAAACTGATCATCTTTATCCTCCTCACCATTTCAATTTTTAAGAAACAAAGTCGATTCCAGAAAGTTCTAATGGGAAAAGTTCTGCTTTCAGTATTTAAACATTGCCTTTAACTTAAATTTAACCATAATAACATAAGCAATAATTAACAAGATAGATTTGCAGCTGTGTAAGTAATGTAAATAGCTAATTGAACCACAACTAATTATACATCTAATCTCAATAATAATATAATTGCACCACTCACATTTATTTTAGGTTAGGAACGATTCATCGAGCTTCAAGTATACCAACGCTCTCTGGTGTTAGCACTAGGTAAATACGTTGAAACTTAATCACACATGAGGATCTGTGGTGGTGATGGGAGTGCTTTGAATTAATGTAGGCTTCATGATATTGGAGAAATGTTACAGTGCATGAACAGTAGAGCATGCATGACAGAACAAAGGATATTGTGTATGTGGCTTATGAATGGTGCATTTTCAATGTTGTACAGTGCAAAGTTATCTTTATCACTGTGGATGGAATTTTGAAGTGCTTTTAGTTGGGAAGAGTATTCTCTTCCCTCAAATCAATCAAAAAACACTTGTTTGCATATATGCCATATTGCTTTGAATATAAGACGCACCTAAGTTTTTCATTGGGAAATATGTGTAAAATATGTGGCTTATATTCAGAGTGATATGGTATATCTTAAGGTGGGGGGAAGTAATTCGTTTCTGCCTGCTCTTTAAAAAAGATTCTGCAGAATTAGGTAAAGCCAAGTGACTTCATTTTATTATTTGCACTTAAGTAAGGGCTTAAATGTTTAACAGTTTTACTGAATCACATAATTGCAAATATTGTTTGTTGTTCTGTATCATAAGTATCAAGATAGCCTTCCTTATTTTTGTTTGTTGTTAAAATTTATAAAAGTAATGCTCCTATATATGATTTTCCTCAGTTCAACTTGAAGTTAGGTTTATAAAATACCATATGACAAAATATAGTGACTAATATAAGATGTTAAACTATTTTGGATTGACATGCACAGAACATCAGGCTTTTTATATTTTTCTTCCAATGAGATGCATTGATAAATGAAGCACAGTCTCTCTATTGTTCCATTTCTATAATTTAAATTTCTAAGATGATGATAATGATAATAAATACAGCCTTGGATGTTACACGAAAAACAGGTTTAGGAAGAATGTTTTATTATATACTGCATTTGATTTTAGTAGTCTTTTCAGATTAGGTCATAGTAAATTAAGAAGGGCTTTCAAAAACCTGTTTCATATTCATTTCATCCTGTGTGTGTGTGTGTGTGTGTGTGTGTGTGAAGAGCTGTAGTAAATCAGCAAAGTAACTTGCTACAGACTGAAGCACTGGGTTCATTGCCTTTGTTGGAATGATTCTGGGACCTCCTAACCAGTGGGTGCTTGGTAATAGTAAAGACAGTGAGTTTGTGAACCTGACCACTCTTCCCAAGGATGTGTGAGGCAGCTGCTTATCACAGATACACTTCAGTGACCTGGTGCTTAGAAGTAACTTGGCCTATTGTTGGCATCTGTTAGTATCAGCTGGAACATTTCATGCTATTTCATATTAATGCATTACTTAAATGGAATTAAAGCACAGTAGACCACTGTAGGTCGTGGTGCAAGGGCCGAGAAGGCCTACTCCTCATACATTCATTAAATGGAACTATAATTTTGTTTATGTGAAGTCCTCAGCCAGCTGTTCTGTTATCAGGTCTTTCTGTGAAACTGTATTGTAACAAAATTAATTTAAAGAAGTTATGTGCAGGAACTGTTTTACTCCATATTATAAACTGTATACATTTATTTGTCATTTTACAAAATGAATGCCTTCCTTCCTCAATAGACATTTCTTAAATGAAAATGAATTTAAGGGTGATGCTTATAGACTTCATGACCTAAGATATTTTATATGTATGAGGAAGAGTCAGTAAATAGATCACAAATGGAAGTAAAACAGCTGTAATGGACAGGTTTTCTATGTGTATCACTAGGTAGCAGCACAGGCCAGCTTCATGGCAGTCTAGGTAACAGACGTGCATGTGCATGTTTAGAGGCTGGTTTCAGTAGTCAAAATGGCAACCGTGCTTGAGGAGTATTACCAAAAAGCAGCATTCTGTTTTGCAGGGGGTGTGGGGGTGTGTGGGCAAAAGGACTGCGTGTGTAAGAGATATTCATAAATAAATGTTTCCTGTTTATGTTTGGAAGTGTTTGTCACTTAAAGCGGTTCCTTCTTGGTCACAAATATTTTGCTGATGACAGAGAGGTTGAAATGGAGGTGCAAGAGTGACTGAGACAGCAAACTGTTTGCAGACTTCTGTGCCGTGGGTTTTGATGCAATGGTAAAGCAATGGGGCAAGTGTATCAGTGTTGGTGAAGGATATGTCGAGAAATGAATGTTTCTTCCAGGTCCGAATATCACACATTTTACATTTTATATCCATTTCCGACCTATTTAGTGACTAAATAGGTCTAGTGACTCTAGTGAAATATGCTTGTTCGAAGGTTATTTGAGGAAAGTATTGTGTATTTTGCTGTACAGCTTAATGCATCCCCAGGCGGTCTTGTTGTTTCTGAAATGTGGCTGTGCTCGTATATCAGGTCTAGGCAGGCAAGTTTCTAGTCACAGACTGAATGTAAAGTGGGACTAGATAGAATTGAATGGGAATGGTCATCAAAGATAAATAGAACCCAGTATAATTTGCCCGGAGATAGAACTCTGTTATATTCTCATAGGAGCATTGAGGGTTAAAGGACTACCTGATGGAGGCATAAGGGAGCTTGCCTGTCTTGTACTTGCAATCTGAAATTGGATAATGAAATTTGGTTCCCTGTTCCCACAGTCATTTCAGCTGTGAATGGAAGGTCATGTGCACCCAGGCTCAAATTTCTAGCTACAGCAGACAGCCTTTACTCATTAGATGAGGCCCCACATCAGTTGAAGGCTTGGTAGTAAAACTTTGGAATGCATACGTAGCTTGTTGCTTTACTGAGTTATTATGGCAGTTTTTATGTTCAACTACTGAGTGAATCTCAGAATTCCCTCATAGAGGCACATAATGTTTTATCATCATAGTGACATGTTTACAGACTTATTTCTTGTTTTCTTTCCTTCCTAATATCAGCTGCTCAAGGATACCGATATTTGTGGGTTCAAGTTCCACCGAATCACAGCTCTCTTCTTGTACTTCTTATGGGTAATTCTTGATGTCTGTCTGTATTATTGTTCTGTGTTTGTGTGTGTTAATGGTAATGGTTTATGTGAGGTTTTAAGTCTTCAACAGTCTGCAGATTCTGTTGATAGGTAAATTAGTATGGTAGGTTCAGTACTTTGGACCACAGTGTTTAATTTTTATTTAAGTTATTTCATGTGTGAACGTACAGTAAAACTTGGTTATAGCAACATCGGTTTCTGCGACACCTTGTCTATTGCGTCAAATATTCAATGGTACGAACTAATTCCTCATAAAGCAACTGTTTTTATACCTTGCTTAGTACGACATGCACAAATGCATCAACCTCGTATGTAACGTCATTTTCATTCCTGAA